CACCACTGGATTTTGGAGGAGCCTGTTTGCCAGCCTCCTGCCCTGTGACTATGGCCCCTGTAATAGACTTTGGTTAAAGACCCTGCTTGTGCCTTTTGGACTTGTATGGCTACACTTCGAACTCTCAAAGTGGTTCGAAGCGTCACTTCGAACTCCCAAAGTGGTTTGAAGCATCACTTCGAACTCCAGAAGCAGTACGAAGTGGAACTTCGAACTCCCAAACAACCGCACGAACCAGAGACCACCCTGGAGCTTGATAACACCTATTAACAACTTGGAACGTTTCTCACCTCAGTGTTCTAATTGTTCATTTAGGTGGCCACAATTCCTATAGACAACCAAAAGGTAGCAGCTATGTTGTTCGCATGAACGCAGGCAGTGGTGTTTGGGCATGAATCTCATGGAACTAAAATCGGACAGAGCAACTACCGATCACTGCTGGACTTCCATCATCGCCTGCATTCGGTTCTAGATAATTTAGAAGGGCAGAAATCATTCATCTGGATGAGGGTAACAAGCTCCATGGTAAGACTATTGACTCTGTTCAGTAGTTTGCTCATTTTCAAACTTCCAAACTAGACCAACCGGAAGCCCTGATTCTCTGGAACTGTTTTGGGCATGGGACCATGCCTGCAGTCGGTCAAATAAATGACTTTCATAGAATTCCTGAACCCCTAAACTGATCTGGGTGATTGTTGGTCACCCAGATCAGGGCTATAAGGGGATGTAACTTTTGTGGGGATAATTTGTGTTTTTGGGGTACTTTTGGGGTTTTATAAAAATGTGTTTTTTCTGCCTGGAGATAATTGAGTAAATACAGTATCTGACTCAATTATCTCCCAGGGAGAGGGGAGGGATTGTATGCTGTGTGAGCGAGTGTCATGCATTGTAACACTGTTATTAACCCCTTAGCGACCGAGGACGGTTCAGGACCGTCATCGGCATTTTTGCCTTGAGGACCGATGACGGTCCTGAACCGTCCTAACGGTCTGGGGGTACTTACCTGATCGCCGTCGTTCCCCCGGCGGCGATCAGTGTTCCTCCGGTTGTGGGGAGACTGCCTGCAGCCCAGACAGTCTCCCCACACTGATTTAGGACCCCTGTGGCCATGTGATCGCTTAACACAGCGATCACATGGTCACAATAGGTGTCCATAGTGCTGCCTGCAGGGGGACTGCCTGTTCTGACAGGCAGTCTCCCTGCTAGTGTAAAATAAAAAAATAAAAATAAAGTTAATGGTAATAAAAAAAATAATAATAATTATATATGTGTATATATGATATATAGACATATAATATATCTATATAATATATGTCTATATATCATATATATAATGTCATACTAAGTGTATTTTTATATTAATATGTACTTATATTAATATAAAAATACACTTATAATTAAATTACACACGTATATATATAATATATATAATAACTATATATATTGTATATATATTATTATAAAATATAAATAATAAGTAATTTAAATTAAATAAAAAAATTTTAAAATAATAATAAAAAAATTTAAAAAAATTATATAGCTATATGAAATTTTATTCTAACTGTATTTTAAAATTAATATATATATATTTGTATCAAAATACACTTAGAATGAATTTGTATATATATATCTATGTATATAAAAATAAATAAAAATAATAAGAAATATACATATGTCCATATACAAAATTACATAAATAATTATATAAATATACACGTAGACTTCAAATATATAAATATGCATATATATTTAAATTCTACGTGTGTATTTATGTAATAGTTTTACATAATTCAGTAATTTTATTGATTGCAATTTAAGGGACCTGCTTGCCAACCCAGGCCGAAATTCCAGAGAATTGAATTTGCTAGCACTGTATTTTACCCTGTAACGTTCTACGACACCCTAAAACCTGTACATGGGGGGTACTGTTTTACTCGGGAGACTTCGCTGAACACAAATATTAGTGATTCAAAACAGTAAAACATATCACAGCGATGATATTGTCAGTGAAAGTGACTTTTTTGCATTTTTCACACACAAACAGCACTTTTACTGATGATATAATTGTTGTGATACGTTTTCCAGTTTTTAAACACTAATATTTGTGTTCAGCAAAGTCTCCTGAGTAAAACAGTACCCCCCATGTACAGGTTCTATAGTATTTTTGAAAGTTACAAGGTCAAATATATGGGTCAAATATTTTTACATTGAAAATGGCCAGGTTGGTTACGTTGCCTTTGAGAGCGTATGGTAGCCCAGGAATGAGAATTACCCCCATGATGGCATACCATTTGCAAAAGAAGACAACCCAAGGTATTGCAAATGGGGTATGTCCAGTCTTTTTTAGTAACCACTTGGTCACAAACACTGGCCAAAATTAGCGTTCAATTTAGTTTTTTTACTTTTTTCACACACAAACAAATATGAATTCTTACTTTGGCCAGTGTTTTCGACTAAGTGGCTACTAAAAAAGACTGGACATACCCCATATTGAATACCCTGGGTTGTCTACTTTAAAAAAAATATGTACATGTGGGGTGTTATTCAGAGATTTATGACAGATAATAGTGTTACAATGTCACTATTGATAAATTTCAAAAATTTATGTTTTGAAACCGCAATATTCTACTTGTACCTATAGCCCTATAACATGCAAAAAAAAGCAAAAAGCATGTAAACACGGGGTATTTTTAAACTCAGGACAAAATTTTGAATCTATTTAGCAGTTTTTTTAATTCGCTTTTGTAGATGAGTAAAAGATTTTTCAAGTAAAAGTCAAAAAACATGTATTTTTTTCAATTTTTCATCATATTTTTTTATTTTTTTTAAATTAAAATACATGAGATTATATAAATAATGGTATGTAAAGAAAGCCCCTTTTGTCCTGAAAAAAACAATATATAATTTGTATGGGAACAGTAAATGAGAGAGCGGAAAATTCCAGCCAAACACAAACACCACAAAAGTGTAAAAATATGCCTGGTCGCAAATGTACAACATCGCAAAAACAGTCCAGTCCTTAAGGGGTTAATGGTCTGTGACTTTGTAACATAGTTCACCACAAGGTCCATGTGGGAGTGCCCCTTACATGGGGATTGTCATAAAAGGCCAAGTGTGGCACCATTAAAATCAGTTCCTTTTCACCCTCAACATAGAGCCGCGTCTCATGTGTGGAGGGGACAACTATATTCACTCTGGAGATTGCTATACTCCTTATACTCCCCTGGGTTCTAATCAATAGCTCTTATAAGAGCTGTTCCTGCTTTACTTTCTGGAGTAGTAGAGGTTCACCCACTGGAAGGTGGATCCTGGTCTTCGGTCCATGGTGGGTGGAGGATGGCGAGACCCCAGCCAAGCTGCGGTGGCTAAGGGGCTACAGTGCTTATGGTGTCTACTGGAGTGCTTGGAGTCCTCGGTGAGCACTAGGAGCATTGAATGGCGGAGGCACATGGTCGGGGTGCCAGATGGTCCGTCACACCAGAGATTCGAGAAACCGAACTATGAATCTCGTTTGAAATCTCTGAATGCGAATTCGCAGAATAGGTGCGCCATGACTTGCGTTAGAAGTTTCGTGAAGCACCATGGGGCAGAGCTGAGCACTAATGGCAGGCACGTGAATTGGCATGGTCGTTTCTGCAAAAGTAAGCAAAGGAATGGGCAGCTTTCTAGTGCTATGGGGACGGACAGGTACGCATCCTTTAAGTCCAAAAGCCTGAACCAGTCTTCTGCGAGTAGGAGATCTCTCAAGAAATGGATACCCTCCATCTTGAAGTGCTGATACACCACGAAACCATTGAGCTGGCGTAAGTTGATGACGGGTCAGTAGTCTCCCATCTTCTTCTTGACCACAAAGATATTGTTGAAGTATTCTGTGTCATCCGGCGAGAATTGCAGCTGCAAATAGCATGATGATTAATATAATGTAACGGATCACCTGGCACCCCGACTGGGTACCTCCGTTGAAGGATGCTCCTAGCGCTTCCTGAGGACTCCAAGCACTGCCGCAGACACCACAATCACCGAACCAGAGAAGCGTATACCTTCTCTCAAGCATATGAATGCTGTAGACAGTTGAATAGGAACCATACAAATAGGTTTACTCTCCTAGCAGTCAAACTGGAACAGCATACAATAAATCCTTCCCCCAATAATGAGACGACACTTCACTTTGAGGGTTAAAACAGGAACTCCCTGTACTGTCACATACAGTCTCTTTTATTCCCAATCCACAAACATAGTACAGCCCACAGGGCGTTACAAAACAGCCAATCAATCCATACAATACACCCAGACACTCCCACACAAAATCCTCCCCTCTGGCTGTGATATGATTACTGAACACAATGGGTAATCTAATTATCACAGCCAGAGAAATACAGTTTCATAAAACACATCACAGGGACCCCAAAACATGCAATAACCCCATAAAAAGTATATCCTTGGAACTGGGGGATCTGGGTGAACCACATATCCAAAATTCACCCAGATCCGTTCAGTACTTTGGAAAATACAGTTTAATGCAGATTCTGCAGAACATATACAGGCTAAATAAAAAACAATCACTGTATAATGTGTCCCCTGCTGTATAGTCCAAAACCACTGCACGATGTCTCTGTTCAACAAATACTGGCGAGATGGCACCGTGTTGAAAAGTCCACACAGTGTCTGTGAGTTAAAATGGCCGCCATTCATTGTTCTCACCATGTGCTTCTGATACAGGAAATGGTGGCCACCCAGTAACTCCACAGTATGTCCCCAGATGGTTCTTAAAAGGGCCAGCAGCAGCACAACACAAATCCATTATGCCCAAATCATGTCTTTAAAGGGCAATACATCCCAGGGACCATAGTCACATGGCAGGAGGCTGGCAACCAGGCTTCTCCAGTGCATAGTGGCGAGGTTGGTTCCGCCACATATATTATATTATAATATTTGTCGAATAGTATGCAAATCTCCTCGTCTATGAAGTTTTTGTGGTCTTCTGATGCCGAAAGGGGGGTGGGCGTTCGATCTGCACCGGTGTACAGTCTGTGGTTATACATGGCTGGCAATGTAGTGAAAGAGGTATGCTCACCTGAGTTCGAACGTCCGCGTCCTCGTCCACGAGAGCCTATGGCACAAAAGGATCCCCTTGTGAAGGCAGCCCGGAATGATGAGATGAAGGGTTGTTGCGTTTGATTTCTGGGGCCTGTGGACCAGAAGCGACTGGTGGCTCGACCCCTCTGTCAACCAGCCCTGCCAAAAACACCTCTGCTCGGTGTAGGGTTGTGGAAAACTTGCTTTATGGATGTTTTAGCCTTATTAAAGGTTGTAGACAGATTCACATGCTTCTTTAACTCCGCTATGAACAGTTCTCTGAATAACAGCCCATTCGCCAGAGGGCCCAGTTCCTTTTTTTTCCAATTTTTTGCAATTGCATCTTGAAGTCCATCTTAAGCAAGGCCGCTTTGCATCGTCCTGCACATATGGCTACATTTGTGTTGTCCAGCATGCATATGGACCTTTGCACCCATTCTCTTATGTCATTGGCATCCAAAGGAGTACCCTGGGATAGAGCCAGGTCCTCATAGAATTTTTGCTAGTGGACCGAGCATATCCAGTAGCTTATCTTGGGTGGCTTAGAGGACTTTCTCTATTCCCTTCTGGGAGTGTCGGCCCGAGCGGGACATAAAAATCACCACCGGTGTCAAACTTCGGGGTGTGAGCGATCTTGTCTGGTAGGAGCGGTCGTGGGCATTTGGCCTGAAGACGAGCCTGTACTTCCTTCTTCATGGGTTTTCTCCCAAAAAAATAATGAATTGTGCCAGGTGGTCTGGCAGTCCCCATTTGGACGATCTTGGGTGCGGGGATCAAACATAGGGGTATCCTGTGTGTCGAGGAAAGCACAGTCCTCCAACTCGTCAATGGATCTGCGAGAACCCTTCTTGCCAAATTGACCTTCTCGGATAGTTTCCCGTGCGTATCGGGAGTCCTCCTGTGGCAAATCCTGCCATTCTTCCTCCTCTGATGGAGAATCCACCGCCCTCCATTTATCCACAATCTCCAGGGTGGGAGGAGGGAGGGAGTCATCGTTATCCTGAAATTCCTGAAAATCTAATATGAGGGAGAGTAGGGTCCAGGCGTTCTGTCCGGCGGCTTCGTTTGAGGGGGACCTTGCCCTTTGATTTCAGAGGGGCCGTGGTGGTGCCCTTCCAGTGTCTTTTAGATACAAGAGCGTCCGCTTTAGATTTTTCGGAGTCCATAACCTCCGCGGCAGTTGAGGTGTCAATGCCCGCCATGTCAGGGGCATTCTGCACTAGTATCTTAGAAATAGCTTTTTCCACCGAAGCAGCCAATGCTGCATTTAACATTGACTGGAAGTCCTGTCCTGGGAGGGGGTTTGTGATGAGTGGCTCATATTGTGGGCAGATGAGCAATCAAGATATAATCGGGTTGTAGCCCATGTAATATTGCCCAAGGGGGTCACCCTTGTTATGGACCAGGGTTGTGGGGACGGTACCACTGAGAGTTCTCCCTCCTGGATTGAATTGAGGAAAACTCCCAGTTGTAGCATGGAGGTGCTGTATGTAACCCTGTGTAGTAGAGCCTTTATTGGCTAGGGTGCATGGGGGTCACCCCTGTTAGAATTTGTATGCCACAAAAGGGTCGGTGTATATCTTGCTTGGGGGTCACCCAGCATTAGGGGGGTCACCTCTGTTAATGTTGTGTTTAGGAACACCATGCTTGAATGGCGGGTCACCCCAGTAGTGGGGGGTCACCCCTATGATTGGTATTCCCCTTGAAATGTAAACAAGTTAAATAAATATATATATATATATCTTTAAAAGGTTGAGATCCACTCTATTTGGTATATATACAGAATCAGGTCTGAACCAATAACAAGCAGGCAGCATGTACAGTACACATCAGTAACACATCAGTAAGACCACTAACACAGTATCAATTTTCACTGTTTAGTAGATGTGAGAAAATGGATTTGCACCGGGCCAGATCGTGTGAATCAGGACCTGGCTATCTAAAATAGCCACCGTGAATCTTGCGGTCTCACAAGATTCAGAATGGCCGCCGTCTGTGCGCAAATTGCTGGCGATCTGTGGTCACATCCTGTGATCGTGGCCCTCCAGTACAGTGATAATGCTCCCCACCACTAGAAGTACCCTTCCTGCCAACCCCCGGAAACCACTAAAACCGTGGCGTGATCGCTGTGAAAAAGCTGTGACACGCGACAGTGTGGAAAGAGTGAAATGGCAGGAGAGCCTTTAAGGTCCCTGTCTGAGAGTAGGAGTCAGGACAGCAGGGAGATGTAAAAAAAGCAAAGGAATTAATATTGAAGAAATTATGATCAAATGCAATGCAGTATAAAAACAATATAAGATAATTGAGCTGAGAACAAATTACTCTGATCTGTGCCTCGGCTGGAGCAGCAAAGGAAGAGGAGGAGCTATGCCTATCAGGACTTTACATGGGATGTGTTACTTGTTTTTGATTGGTTAAAGTTTATTGATTGACGTGCTGCTGGAGGCATAAGTAAAGAAAGTTATGCAAAATAGGAAGCCTCCTGTAATGTAGTAAAATTAATATATATGTAAAATATAAATGCCTATATTTTTTTTCCCCTCTCTGTGTTACTTCTTCCCACGAATTATATGAATACAAATTCTATTTTGCAGTACACTGATTGCCCGATTTTTGTGCCTTTTGGTTTGAAAGAATAGTTTTTCCTGAAACGATTGCATGAACGAAAATCATCCAAGTTAAAACACCACATGGAGAAATTTCGATCCACCCAAGCAAAAACATTTTATGGACAGAGTGATTTAATCAAATCTGTTTTTTCATTTGCTGCTCACGAGTCTGGTGTATCTTCCTAATTGATTGACATCGGCTTTGAAAAGCTGGCTCCTTTTGTTATTGCAGCATTAGATTTGAGCTCGTTACCCTCAATGGGATGCTGGAGTTTGTAATTAAGATAAGTGTCCATTGGGGACCGTATTAAAATAACAAAAATGCCCATTAGCTGTAACCTGGCTGTGCCTGACACTGACCCCTGTGCTGGCCTCGGCCTTTCAACGCTACACTGCAATTTGCTGCTCAGCCCCCAGCACTAAAAGCCTAGAACTGGCAAACCTTGGGCTATCTCCCGGGAATGCATAGTGATACATATATCATAGCTAAGTAACGCTGTTTGCTACCATTACTGCAACGCACTCCTTATCTCACAGCATTCTGTAAATAATTGTAGGAAAATGTGCTCATTTCTCATTAAAACAAAGTGCTTATCCCAAACCAAATCAAAGCGTTAATAAATAGAGAACATACAGAAGGGCACAGTGACATCAATCCGGTGCAGACAGTGAGCACGGACATACTTTGTAAAATGACTTTTTTTGTCAATATTTTTACTTTATTAAAATCCTAAAACCAAAGAACTGTTTGTTGATTGTTTTATCTTTGAAATTTCTGTTTAATATGATGAGGTGTCTCAGTATTCAGCACATATAATGTTAAAGGAACCATAACCACTACAGTCAGGAGTGTCATGGTGTCCCCCCATATGACTCATTATTCCCTCTACTAACCTAGAGAGAAATAAATTCCTCAGCTTTCCAAAGGTAAACCCTGCAGCGCAGGACTATGCTCATTGGCTGTGAGAGTCAGCTGACCTTCCTGCTTAGGAACATCCAACACCAATGGGGGGTGGGCGGCGGTAGCAAATCTTTGTAGTTTTTTAAGGGCTCCATTCCATAAGCTTTCTCTTTCTTCCCAATATAAGATATTTTGCCCTTTCTTCCAATATGTATACAAAAAGAAATTACATTGTTATATACTGCCAGATATGGACATCGGTCCACTCTCTATATGCTGCATTGGAGAAGCCGTGTAGAGACCGGATGGTACATTACATGGTGTACAGATGAGGATTCAGAATTACATTGTTATATACTGCCAGATATGGACACCGGTCCTCTCTCTATATGCTGCATTGGAGAACCCGTGGTGGAGACCAGATGGTACATTACACTGTGCACAGATGAGGATTCAGAATTACATTGTTATATACTGCCAGATATGGACACAGGTCCTCTCTCTATATGCTGCATTGGAGAAGTTGTGGTGGAGACCGGATGGTACATTACACTGTGTACAGATGAGGATTCAGAATTACATTGTTATATACTGCCAGATATGGACACCGGTCCTCTCTCTATATACTACATTGGAGAAGCCATATAGAGACCGGATGGTACATTACATGGTGTACAGACAGGGATTCAGAATTATATTATATACTGCCAGATATGGACACCGGTCCTCCCTCTATTTGCTGCATTGAAGGAGCCATATAGAGACCGGATGGTACATTACATGGTGTACAGACGAGGATTCAGAATTACATTGTTGTATACTGCCAGATATGGACACCGGTCCTCTTTCTATATGCTGCATTGGAGAAGCCGTGGTGGAGACCGGATGGTACATTACACTGTGCACAGATGAGGATTCACAATTACATTGTTATATACTGCCAGATATGGACACCGGTCCTCTCTCTATATGCTACATTGGAGAAGCCATGTAGAGACCGGATGGTACATTACACTGTGTACAGACGAGGATACAGAATTACATTGTTATATGCTGCCAGATATGGACACCAGTCCTCTCTCTATATGCTGCATTGGAGAAGTTGTGGTGGAGACCGGATGGTACATTACACTGTGTACAGATGAGGATTCAGAATTACATTGTTATATACTGCCAGATATGGACACCAGTCCTCTCTCTATATGCTACATTGGAGAAGCCATATAGAGACCGGATGGTACATTACATGGTGTACAGACGAGGATACAGAATTACATTGCTATATACTGCCAGATATGGACACCGGTCCTCCCTGTATATCAGGGGTTCTCAACCCAGTCCTCAAGGACCCCCTACCAGTCCAGGGTTTAGGGATTACCCTGTTGTGTCTAAAGTGTTTCCCCCCCCCCAAAAAAAAAAACACATTAGACACAGCAGGGTAATCCTTAAATCCTGGACAGTTCGGGGGTCCTTGAGGACTGGGTTGAGAACCCCTGCTCTATATGCTGCATTGGAAGAGCCATGTAGAGACCGGATGGTACATTACACTGTGTACAGACGGAGATACAAAATTACATTGTTATATACTGCCTGTTAGTGAATGTTGTGCCCATTTACGAGTAAGGTAGTATGGAGGAGTTGGGCA